GGGGGAGTTTATCTTCATCAGAGAGAAATCTGGCCTTTCCATCAGTGGCCGCGGGCGGGCCCCTAGGGCTCTGACACCCCGCAGTGGGCGAGGGGCCACCCTGGGGCCTGGGGTGCAGGGAGTGGTGTGGAGGTTGGGGGAAGGGCAGTTTCCCTGGGGTGTGCCTGGCCTGGCTGACCTCCTGCCAATCAGCACAGCTGGCACCAGGGTGCCCTGGCATGGCCTAGGTCTGTGTCACCCTGCCTGGGGTCCCCAGCCCTGCTGGCGGGCTCACCGCCTCACCAGGCCAGTCTGGTCCTGCCTGTCCGTGTGGCCTGCTTCAAGGAGCTTGTAGCACCGCGGGCGGAGCACAGGTCCCTATCTGTGCCCTTCCCTCCAGGGCCCTGCCTGTTCCTGGGCCTCGCAGGTCTCCCTGGGTGACCGGAGCCCGCACCTCACAGGCAGCCTGTCCAGGCTGCGAGCCACACCGTGCTGGGCTCAGGTGAGGAAGGGGCGGAGCTGTGAGGGTTCTGGGATCATCTGTTGTAAGCAGGGGAGGCTGGGACTCAGAGAGGCACCTTCATTTGCCCCAGGACACACAGCAGGAAGTTCCAAGGCTTCTGATCCCATGCTGTTCCTGCTGCCTCACTGAGACAAACAGCTCCCCGGTGCTCAGGAGCTGCCGCAGGGGAGCCAGTACGCACCCCGGCCCGCCCCTGAGGGCCTCCAGCCTCCTCTCTCCCGGCTGGCTCTGCTCAGCTCAGCCTGGCTGTGATCATTGACCTCCCACTGCTGCTGCCCACCGGTCACCCCGTCCTATAACCAGGTGGTGCCCACCCCAGCAACCCCGGGACCAGCCACTGTGCTCACCTGCTGGCTGCACGGGGTTCGAAACCTGCGGCTCAGCTGACAGGGAAGCAAGTGGCTGGAGGCTGCTGGCACGGATCGCCGGCGAAGGTCGGCCGATGGGCTGGGGTGGACTCTGCCCACCATGCGCAAAACCACATTAACCAGGAGGCTTAGAGGGCGGGCGTTCTGGTTAACTGCATTTGCTGAGTAACTGAAGGCCAACATCGACATGCAAAGGCTTTCTAGAATGCCTGACTTAAATAACCAAAAAAAACAACAAACAAACAAACAAACAAAAAAAACCATACAGGGGCCGGCACTGTGGCGCAGTGGGTTAACGCCCTGGCCTGAAGCACCCACATCCCATATGGGTGCTGGTTCTAGTCCCAGCTGCTCCTCTGCTGTGGTCTGGGCCCCTGCACCCATGTGGGAGACCCAGAGGAAGCTCCTGGCTCCTGGCTTCGGATCAGCGCAGCTCCAGCCGTTGCAGCCATCTGGGGAGTGAACCAGCGGATGGAAGAGATCTCTCTCTCTCTCTCTCTACCTCTCTCTGTAACTCTTTCAAATAAATAAAATAAATGTTTTTTAAAAATGGACTTACAGTCCAGCAACAGGGAACTGAGATACTAAGTCATGGATTATTCATATAATGGGATACTATGATGTCATCCCAAATGTTACACAACTTTTTGTTTTTTGAGATACAGAGGCAGATAGTGCTTCTGTGTGCTGGTTCACTCCCTACATTCCTAGAACAGCCAGAGTTGGGCCACGCTGGAGCTAGGAACACAATGTGGGTCTCCCACATGGGTGGCAGGGACGTAAGTACTTAATCCATGTGTCCTCTGCTGCCTGCCGGGTGTACATTTGCAGTAAGCTGGAATCAAGTGAGGCTGGGACTCAAATGAGGCACTGCAACATGGGATGCGGGCGTCCCAAGCAGTGTCTTTTTTTTTTTTTTTTTTTTTGACAGGCAGAGAGAGAGAGAGAAAGGTCTTCCTTTTGCCGTTGGTTCCTCCAATGGTCACTGCAGCTGGTGCACTGCAACCAGCACATCGCACTGATCCGAAGCCAGGATCCAGGTGCTTCTCCTAGTCTCCCATGGGGTGCAGGGCCCAAGTACTTGGGCCATCCTCCACTGCACTCCCTGGCCACAGCAGAGAGCTGGCCTGGAAGAGGGGCAACCGGGACAGAATCCGGTGCCCCGACCGGGACTAGAACCCGGTGTACTGGTGCCGCAAGGCGGAGGATTAGCCTGTTGAGCCACAGCACCGGCCGACCCCAAGCAGTGTCTTAACCGCTGTGCCAACCCCCCCTCCCCCGGCCTGTGGTGGCACTAAGCTGCCGTACTTCCGGGGTGGGGGAGGGGTACCCCACAGCGGACACCTGATACGGACAGGTGGGCTGCTGCCACACTTTTGCTCTGATGGTCTTTGTGGTTTCTCGGCTTTCCAGTCTGTAGCCAGGAATACTACACTGCCAAGTATCTGTCTACGTTCAAGCTGCAGGAAGGAAAACACTGGTCTCTTCCCCACTGCCGTCTGCTCGGCCCAGAGTGTGCTCTCCTCCTCTGCTCAGAGACCTCCACGGCCGTTGAGCATCTACGGGTGAGTGTCCGTGATGCACCTGTCACAGAGGAACGAAACCCCTCCAGGCCTGGCTGCAGAAGCTGCCACTTCACGCCGCGTTATTCCCTACAGAAGGAATAGGAACCTGCACGCGGTAAGCAGGTCTTCCGTGCCAGGCCCGGCAGGCCGAGGATGGATGCGGGAGCCAGACTGCCTGGGTTCAAATCCCAGCCCTGCCACTTACCAACTAGGTGACCTTGGGCAAATGCCATGACCTCACTGCGCATTCCAACATTTTACTTTAAAGATTTATTTATTTTTGTTGAAAGGCAGAGTTACAGAGAGGCAGGGGCAGAGAGAGAGGTCTTCCATCTGCTGGTTCACTCCCCCAGTGGCTGAAGCTGTGCCAATCTGAAGCCAGGAGCCGGGAGCTTCCTCCAGTCTCCAACACAGGTGCAGGGCCCAAGGACTCAGGCCATCTTCTACTGCTTTCCAGGCCACAGCAGAGAGCTGGATCTGAAGTGGAGCAGTTGGGAATAGAACCGGCGTCCACATGGGATGCTGGCACTGCCGGTGGTGGCTTTACCTGCTGTCACAGTGCTGGCCCCCCAAGTGGCATCTCAACATTTTAAAAACGGGAAAGACCACAGCCAAAGACAATGTGTCCCCTCCCCTCCCTCCACCCCCATTCATGCTGAACCCTAACCTCCTAGGTGATGGGGGCCTCAGGAGGCGGGGCGGTTACACCGGGAGGGTGGAGCCCTCCTGAGGGCAGGGGTGTCCCTGGTAAAAGAGGCCCCAGCGAGCTCTCAGCCCTGGCACCCACTGAGCGCACAGCGAGAGGACGGCCTCCCTGGCTCCATCAGTGCCTTGACCTCGCACTTCCCAGCCTGCAGCACCGCGAGAAATAAATCCATAAGCCACCTACCACCTGGCCTATTACAGCGCCTGAAAGGATTCAGACCCGCACTTAGCACAGGGCTGCTGAGATGAGGGAGTTTGTGTGTCTGCAGAAGCAACAGCTATCTCACTGTACAAGGGACGGTGAGGCCCAGGGCGGAACACGCTTATGACCTCAGAGGGTCAGGAGTCTGGCCCAGATTAGCAGGGCCCCAGGCACAGCTGCAGTCAAAGGCCTGGGGTCTCACCTGGAAAGGATCCCCATCGCTGGTGGGCTGCAGCAGGCCTGAGAAGTTCCGGGTTGCGCTGGCTGCCAGCGGAGGCTGCCCTCACTTCCAGCCACCCGACCACCTCCTGGGGCAGCTCCCACACTGCAGCAGCCGCTCACTCCAAAACCAGCAAGGCAGGGTACACACTTCCGTGACCATGGACGTGGCATCGGGCCGCCTTTGCTGTGTCCCACTGGCCAGGGGTCACAGGTCAACGAGGGAAGGGCATCGCCCAAGCCTGTGGGCAGCAGAAGCCACGCCCCCAGTGTAGGCAAATGCTCCCACATGCAAGGGGCAGCCAGGTCTCACGGAGCCCTCACCTCTCTGTGAGCTCCAGCAGGGGTAGGATCGAAGAGATGCCTGGCTTGTTATCAGGAAGTTTTGCTAAGGATCCTGGTACTTTAACAACGTTTTTCTTTTCTCCGATCCTGGTACTTTAACAACAATCTTTTTCTTTTCTCCCCCAGCTGGGACTCCCATCAGTGATGGAGAGCACCCACCTGTCCCTTGTCCCCCCGAGACTGCTCCAAGTGCTTTGCAGGTTAGGTCCTCGGTGGCCAAGGCCTCATCGGCTGCTCCTCCTCACAGCCAACAAGAGTTCTAGGCTTAGCACCTGAGAGGAAGGTGATTTAGGGACAAACTCTATGACAGGCACTGCTGGTGCTCGGCATGCCCCATCTGAGTGACACCTTTGTGGTCACCTCTCACCTGGGGACAGCCTGGACCAAAACCCATTTAGGGATGGGTATTTGGCACAGTGTTAAGACACCACCTAGGGGGGAAGAACCACTACAATCCAAAAGCTATGAAATTTATATTACATAAAAGCTTTAAAAAAAAATAAGCCACCACCTAGGACTCCTGCATCCCACGTCAGAGTCCCTGGGTTCAAGTCCTGCTCCAGCTTCCTGCTAACGAGGCAGGCAGGCAGGCAGAGCCACACGTACTATCCATGGGTTAACCCCAAAGGCCCACGGTAGCTGGGGCAGGGACCCAGGGACTTGAGCCATTTCCCTCTGCCCCCCAAGGGTGCCCACTGGCAGGAAGCCGGATCAGAAGTGGGTGAGCGGGACTTGAACCAAGCACTGGGACGCGGGACTGCTGCACCAAACGCCTGCTCCAATGGCAGTGGCTCCACTAAGGGCTTCCCGAGTCCCGGGAACAGCCCTTCATTCCCAGCCTCCGAAGCACCCGGAAGTTCCTACTCCAGAGAGAAGCCAGGAGCCGGGGAGTCCATCCGGGTCTCCCATGCGGGAGGCAGGGCTGTTTTCCCTGCCTTCCCAGTCACACCAGCAGGGAGCTGGACCGAGAGCGTCCAAACCGGGACTCAGCACATGATGTGGGAGTCGCAAGCAGCAGTTTGATGGGCCACACACCAGCCCTCGGGAGCTCTGGCATCCATGCTTCCGAAAACACACTCACCTCTGACACCCACTGACAAGTACAAATATTATTTATTGTTTTAATCTTAAAAACCTGGTCCCACAGAAAAGCCAGCAGTTTTTCAGTTCACGGTCTCGACCCTTCAAAAGCACCCTTTCAAGTGAGAGGTAAGTAAGTGCATTAAGGCGTTTCAGAGGTGCACGCGGCTACAACTTCTAAACCCGGGGCCCAGGCTGCCCTGGACGTGCAGGTCATGACGCTCCTCCTGCCTGTCTGTCACAGTCCCTGGAGGAGAAAAGGAAGTTACGAGGCTGCCTGCAGGTTAAGGCACTCAGAATCCACCCAAGGGAAACCCGCGTCTGCCCAGAGCAGACTGTGAACTTGTGAGTCCAGAGCGGCCGGCCGGCAGGCAGGCAGGAAGGCCGACCCAACTCCACGTCCACAGCTTCCCCTTCCGGCCCCAGCGCTGTTCCACCTGGCTTCCAGCACAGCCTCGAGCCGGCAGCACCAGCCTGGCCCGGCAGACACGGAACCAGCTGCTGGCGGCTCAGGACGTGCCGGCGCGGTCCCTTCCACAAAGGCAAGCAGTTAGTGCAGATCAGCACAGCAGGAAAGCAAATCATTACACATTTTACAGAGCTGCTTCACCCTTCCAATTTCGCCCCAATGGTTTATTCCAACCACGGCCTAAGACCCTGCTAGAAATCAGGCAAGGATCCTTGCTCCGGAAGGCGCCCTGACTACAGCCCACGGGAGTGCTCAAAACCCCCGCCACGGCAAGCAGGTGAGAGATGCACACCCCAAGAGGGCCGGTCGAGTCCACGCGGCACACACAACCCACTCCTGCTTCGGGCTTGTGTTTAATAGGGGTCACTTGGGAGACGCCCAAGTCTCAAGTCTCTCAAGCAAGCGGGCGGATGGGGACAGGGATCCCGGAGCGTCTTGTGTCTTGGATGTGTGCTGAATCCCAGGAAACAGTGACAGGAGCCCGTGACTCCTACCACGCACGGCCAGTTAAGGGAGCCAGACAAGGGCAGCAGAGTTACGCTCCCCACAGGCCGGCGGGGAGGGCTTCTTCCTCCTTCCTTGTGCCCAGCTGAAGTGGCTGCTTCCCGGAAGTCACAGGAGGAAAAGAGCTGTGTTCAGAACTGGACCCAGCCTGTCCCCGGCTGAAGCTGGCTGGAAGCTGACCTGTTCGGGGAGAGGGAGGGATGTTGCGGGGAGGCCTTAGGTGTTAGAGAATACAAAGCAGACCAAAGCTTCCTTCCCCCTGGGCACCAAGAGCTCCGTCAAATCAGCCTCTAATTGTTCTGGGCTGCACTCAGCAAGCTACAGCCCAGGGACCACTTCTGGCCCTCTCTGTTTCTTTAGTATTTCATTTAAACTTCATTCATAAGAGACTCTTAAATTAGTTGTATTACACCTCTATTTCTGCAAATGAAGTTTTACTGGTACATAGTTATGTCCATTCATTTACAAATTCTCTGTAGCTGCTTTTGTACCACAACAAAATTGAACAGCTGGAACAGAAACCACATGACCCAAGTAGCCTAAATTATTTGCTGGGGACTGGCATTGTTGTGCAACGGGTGACGCCGCCACCTGCAGTGCCAGCATCCCATATCCCAGATGCACAACTATCAACCCAGCTGCCTGCTAGCGCACCTGGGAAAGCAGCACAAGATGGCCCAAGTGCCTGGGCCCCTGCACCCTCATGGGAGACCCAGATGAAGCTCCTGGCTCTGCAGAGCCTCAGCTGTTGCAGCCTTTGGGAAGTGAACCAGTGGACGGAAGATCTCGCTCTCCCTCCCTAACTCTGCCTTTCAAACAAACAGAATAAATCTCTAAAGAATAATTAAATTAACTATTTGCTGCCCAGTCCTTTACAGGAATGGGGTGGGGGACAGAAAAATTAAAAAAAAAAAGGAAATGGGGGGCAGGGAAGCGCTGCCATTTGGGTGCTGTGGGTTAAGTCACAGACAGACGCCAGCATCCCCTACTGGAGTGCCGGTTCGATTCCTGGGGGCTCCACTTCTGACCTGGCTCCCTGCTAGTGCACCTGGGGAAGTAGCTTCCAGGCTCCTGGTTCATCCTGGGCCAGCCTCCATCACTGCAGCCGTTTGGAGACCAACAGATGGAAGATGTCATCTCTGTTGCTCTGCCTTTCAAATAAAGTAAGTAAATCTTCCCAAAAAAGGAAAGAAAGAAAATGTAGGGGTGCACACCCAGCCTCGTGGCTAAGGCGCGGTTCAGATGCTGTGTTCCACAGAATGCCTGCATGCCCTACTCTTGGCTCCAGCTTTGCTAATGTGAATCCTGGAGGCTGATGCCTCAGGTGGGTTTCTACCGCCCACGCAGGAGACCTGGATTGAGTTTCTTGCTCCAGGCTTTGGGACAGTCGACATGGCCAGTGCAGACACTGGAGGGAAGCAGTAGATGGAAGATCTCTCTGCCCCTCAGGTAAATAAATAAAAAAATAAGGGGTTGGCATTGTGGTACAGTGGCTCAAGCTGCCACCTGCAATGCAGGCATCCAATGAGTGCCAGTTCACGTCCTGAGTGCTCCACTTTGGATCCAACTCCCTGCTAACACACCTGGACAGGCAGTAAAGATGGGCCAAGTTCTTGGGCTCTTGCTATCACCATGGGAGATCTGAATAAGGCTCCTGGCTCTTGGCTTCCAAGCCCTGGCTGTTGTAGCTATCTGGGAGTGAACCAGTGTACAGAAGATATTTCTCTCTGTGTCTCCCTTTCTGTAACTCTGCCTTTCAAATAAATAAATCCCTTTTTTTCTTCTTCTAAGAATTTATTTATTTGAGAGGCAGAATTACAGACAGAGACAGGTTTTCCATCTACTGGTTTTCCATCTGTGGCCCCAAATGGCCACAATGGCCAGAGCTGGGCCGATCCAAAGCCAGGAACCAGGAGCTTCTTCTGGGTCTCCCATGTGGGTGCAGGGGCCCAAGCACCTGGGCCATCTTCTGCTGCCTTCCCAGGCCATAGCAGGGAGCTGTGTCAGAAGGGGAGCAGGGAGAACCAACGGTAAAGGAAGACCTTTCTCTCTCACTCTCTCACTGTCCACTCTGCCTGTCAAAAATAAATAAATAAATAAATAAATAGATAGATAGATAGATAGATAGATAGAAGGGGAGCGGCTGGGACATGAACCAGTACCCATATGGGATGCTAGGGCCACAGGAGGAGACTTAGCCTACTATGCCACACTGCTGGCCCCCAAATAAATCTTTTTAAAAAATAAAATGTGTGCTCATCCCCATTTTAATGGCAAGACAGGAATTTAGCATCTTTTCACTCTGACCCAAAGTGAAGGCTTGACATCTCAAGGAGTCAGAAGACACTACGCCTTGCCTCAGAGGTCCCGTGATGGGCTAAAGCGAGCACCTGGGTCTTAACCTGAGCGTGGCATGCTGGGAAGCTGGAGATGGGGGGAGACGGGGAATACTGGGGGCAAGCCAAGGCCCTCGGTGAGACGCCTTAAAGGTCCACACAGATTTGCAGAAGGGAGCCCCAGGCTGCCTGGCAGTGGAAAGCAGCAAAAAGCCTTCCTGGAGAGAAATGTGCGACCCAAAGCAGGCTCCGGGGCTCTAGCCTCTGGCTGCCGTGAGACAAACCACCCCAGCGTTTAGGGAAACAGCCCTGGCCCAGCCCCACCACACAGCGTGGCTCTCCTCACCCTGTGGATTTGGTGAAGTCTCCCCAGATGTCGGCAGAGGCGGCAGTGGCAGGCTTGGGCTGTGGCCAGGACACAGTGGCACCTCCTATTGATGTCCCCGAGTCCGATGAGTAGGGAGAGACGGAGACAGGAGAGTCAGAGCTGGAGACAGCAGAGTCCGAGACCGCTCTTTTGCTTCCCCTGGTGCCCAAATCCCGGGACTCAGTCATCAGTCTCCTGGGGGCAGTGGCTGAGACTCGGCCGCCCTGAGCGCCCACAGCCCAGCGTCTGCAGCAAACAGCTGGGAATACGACGTGCCAGACAGGGGCCAAGCCCTGAGCCCCCGGCCGATTAGGGCTCGGGGAGAGCCTTCCAGAAGAGCCTACATGGGAGCTGGTCCTCGTGTCTCTCTTATCAGAGTGGGTGGTGTCACAGGGCTGCAGTGCCGGCTTCTGTGCCCTTCCAGTACTCCCCACTGCTGCCCAGTGACCCTCCTGAAGGCCCTACGCCCGCCACCTTCCAGCTTGCTACCAGCTTCCATTTCTACTCTGCTTTGGGCTGGGAGCCCAGACAACTCTAGGAACACCTCGGCGATTTAGTTTCACTGTTTGCCACCCCCTTCCCTGACAGTCACCGCAGTCCCGAGGGGAAGACAGGCCAGGACAGCTGTGTGACTGCGCAGGTCACTTACGTTTCAGTTTTCTTATCTAAAATGGGGACAAGGACCAATGTTGCAGCCCAGGGGCTTAAGCTACTGCTTGTGATGCCTCTGCTTCCAATCCAGCTACCTGCTAATGCACCTGGGAAAGCAGCAGATGGTCCTAGTACTCGGGCCCCTGCACCCATGTGGGAGAGCTGGATGGAGTTCCAGGCTGCTGACTCCAGCCTGGCCCAGCCTCAGCCATTGTGGGAGTGAACCAGCAGATGGTAATCTGTCTCCCTCCCTGTCACTCCACCTTTCAAAGCAATCAATCAATCAATTCCTAATAACTACTTCCTAGCACTGGTGTAAGAATGACACTAGTTAATATATACAGAGTGCTTGCCACAGGCTGGCACAGAGAACCAATAATGGCATTATCAGCATGAGAGCTCACAGCCATAAGCGCGTACCATGTTCTAGACACTTCCCGAAGGGCTGTGCATGGCCTGGCTTATTGGAACCTCTGCTGTAGGCACCATTACTACAGACGAGAGCACTGACGTGCGGAGGACTGAGTGGTTTCCAAGGCTTACCTAGGAAGCTGGCGTTTAACTCAGCCAGTCTGGCTCCGGAGCACGCGGTAGACACTGAGGAAATGGCGGCTGTTCATGATGGACTACCCGCCACTGCCTCATCGGCACGTCCGCTGCCAGTCCTGCACCTCAGAACACGAGGCTCCCCAGTGCCTAACACGCCGCCTGCACACCGCAGGTACTCTAAGTTACCTGTTAACGCACGGCCCAGGACCGGCACTGCGGCTTAGCAGGTAAAGTGGCTGCCTACGGCACCAGCATCCTGTATGGACACTGGTTCAAGTCCCAGCTGCTCCATTTCCGATTAAGCTCCCTACTAATGAGCCTGGGAAAGCAGCAGCAGATGATCCAAGTGTTTGGGCCCTGCACCCACGTGGGAGACCCAGATGAAACTCCGGGCTCCTGGCTTTGGCCTGGCCCAGCACTGGCCGTTGTGGACACGGGAGAGTGAACCAGCAGATGGAAGACCTCTCCCTCTCTGTTAACTTTTTTTTTTTTTTTTTAAGATTTATTTATTTGAAAGGCAGAGTTACACAGAGAGAAGGAGAGGCAGAGAGAGAGAGAGAGAGAGAGAGAGAGAGAGAGAGAGAAAGAGGTGTCTTCCATCCACTGGTTCACTCCCCAATTGGCAACAACTGGCAACAATGGCTGAGGCTGTGCCAATCCAAAGCCAGGAGCCAGGTGCTTTTTCCAGGTCTCCCACACGGGTGCAGGGGTCCAAACACTGGGCCATCTTCTACTGCTTTCCCAGGCCATAGCAGAAAGTTGGATCAGAAGTGGAGCAGCCGGGTCTCGAACTGGCACCCATATGGGATGCCAGCACTGCAGGGAGTGGCTTTACCCGCCACGCCACAGCGCCAGCCCCTCTGTAACTCTTTCAAATAAAATAGATAAATCTCAAAACAAACAAACACACCACTGCACGGCCAGAGGCAGCGGCTCGGACCTTGGTGAGACTGTAAACAGGATGCCAGGGCAGGGCGCCCCAGGACCCTCCTCTGAGAAATCGCTGAGTGATTCCTGGTGCCGGGCAGAGGCGCCCTGGCTGCGATGCTGCCTCCCTCTTGGCTGGGGCCTTCCCCACGGGGCTGAGGCTTGAACACATCGGGGCTCTCAGAACTGGTGAAGCAGAAGGGCTTCCGGCCGGGACCAGGAACCTGGGGAGAGCTGCACGCAGAGCCGCCCAGCCCGGGAAGGCGGGGGACACTGGCTTGTCAGCTGGAGGTCTCCACAGAGCTCGTGGGCCCGGCCTGTGGAGCTGTGGAGGGGCCGCCTGCCGCCCCCAGAGCAGCTCAGCCCCCCGCCTCTCCAGCACCCCTTGGCAGCCCTCACACTGCAGCCGTCTCCCCAGACTCAGCAGGTGGCAAAGTCTGAGCCTGATGCATGCTCCTGTCTCTGCCTGAAATGCCAACGCCCTCCCCTCCCCCATCTCATGCCTTCAAATCCGGCTCCAGGCTGCCACGAAGCATCGCCGTATCACACCAGGCACTAGTGAGTCTTGCTGCACACACCTGGTCTCTGTGCCTATGGCTCCTCTCTCCCACTAGACATGAGCAGAGACCACGTCTCCAGCACCCACTCACGCCCACTGAGCAGCCAGTGAGCTCCTGGAACCCACAGTGACACACGGGCCGCCAGCCGCGCCTGTCAGGTCCAGGAGAAGGCGCCAGGGGACGCCTGACCCAGTGGGTGCTGTGTGCAGGACCCACTGTGGTGCCCACCTTCCAGCCCGAAACACACAGGACTCAACACCAAATCGATGTATGGGAGGAGGGAAAGCCACGGGCCCCAGCTGTCACCCTGGGGCACTGACCTGAACCAGGAGCAGCTGCCGGCTGGACAAAGGATCCGCCCCCAGACAACTGCTCCCCAGGGGGAGGGGTCAGGGTGGAGGTCTTGCCGCCCGGCGGAGGGGGAAGCAGGCTCAGCCCTCCAGTGCTGGCGGGCCGGGCTCGGGGAGTCCCAGCCACTCCTTCCTTCTTCTTCATGTTCTAAAGAGAGCAGAAGCGTGCGTGTTAGTCCATTCTGCTGGAGTCCCACTGCCTCAGACAACCCATGAGGGGGACAGGGGACCCCCAGGCCCCGTGTAACCCACGGAGAGCACACCTAGCGCCTTCTGTCAGGAGCTGTGGCCGACACAGCACGTTCTGCATCCGCCACAAACGTTTCATTTTAAAACCCAGCACCCAACTCAACTGACCACCAGGGCAGCAGAAATCAAAAATCCAACGGGTCACCATCACACCCCCTCAGAAAGGCTACAACGCGGTCAAGGAGTGACAAGGACACAGCGCAACCAGGACACTCACGTGGTGCCGGGGAGGCGTCAGCGGGTCAGACCGCTTGGAAAGCCTCCATAAAGCTCAACACAGGAACTGGACCCTGCGAGTCCATGCCAGAGACCCGAAAGCAGTGCACCCGAGACGTGAACTCCAGCCTCCCAGGAGCGCTATTTGCAACAGCCCCGAAGTGCGAGCCACCCAAGTGCCCACCGCCAGCAAAACAGGCAAGGAAGCCGAGGACAGTCTCCCTGTGGCCCGGGCTGCGAAATGAGAATGAACCCGCGACAGGGGACAGGACAGGCGGCTCCCACAGTGCTACACCGGCTGAGAGAAAAAACTGCACTCAAGGGTACGAAGTGCACAACTCAGCTCATGAAGGTTAAGAACACACTGTGGTGCCGTAGGTTAATGCCCTGACCTGCAGCGCCGGCATCCCGTATGGGCACCGGTTCTGGTCCCGGCTGCTCCACTTCCGATCCAGCTCCCTGCTTTGGCCTGGGAAAGCAGCAGCAGCAGACAGCCCAAGTGTGTGGGAGACCCAGAAGCAGCTCCTGGTCTCTGGCTCTGGATCAGCTTAGCTCCGGCCACTGTGGCCATCTGGGGAGTGAACCAGTGGATGGAAGACCTCTCCCTGTCTCTCCCTCTCTGTAACTCTTTCAAATAAATAAATCTTTTTTAAAAAGAAAGACCCCAGGAAGTGCAGAGCACTGGAAGCCAGGCCGTGGTTGCTCGGGCAGGCAGTGATGGGGGGCGGGGGGTGTTTCTGGAGTGGAGACAAGCTTCTGTGTCTGGACCCGGGAGTGAGCGGCCAGGTCGCTAAGTGCAGGTTTTGGGGATTCACTGAATTCTGCATTTAACATGTGTGCATTTTTAAATATGCTTATTATACGTCAACAAAATGTTAACCACACACACACGCGCGCGACACTGAGCACCGAGGCAGAGCCGGGAAGCAGCGCCGGTTGCAGGGCTGAAGGTGATGTCACCGTGAGGACAGCAGCAGCTCGACCAAACGTTAAGACAGCCCTGGAGTCCAAGGACGCACGGAGCTGGGGTGGAGGCGCCCGGCCCAGGCAAGTGCCCTCCCTCCTCCAGGCTTCGACCTGCTTGCCTTTGCGAGCAGAGGGAAGGACGTTCAATTCAACGAGAAATGCCTGAAAACACTACCTGGCCCACAGCTGCTGCTCAGTAAGTGTTAGTTTCCGCCAAGCAAGAGAAAGAATCACATCCCAACCAGTCCAGGGGCTGGCCCTCGCTCTCCTAAGGGCCAGCGGCCAACTGCAAAGGTCCCAAGTCACCACCAGCAGGAAGCAGAAAAGAGGAGAGAGAGACGGTAAGTAAAGAAAAGCATCATTTTTGAGTTGCAAAATCTCTTCAAAAAAAAAACCACCAGTTCCATTTGGTCCTCGGTCCCCACACATCCTGACTGCCAACTCCATCTCCCCCGGACCCCTGCAGCCAAGGAAGGCCAAGCCTGGCGCCCCAGCCCAGGCCTGCCTTCCCTATTCAACGGCGTCACGCAACGCCAGCTGCGGAGTGGCTCAGAAGACACAGGGAGCCCGGAGAGCACCAGCAGAGGCCGCCCTGGCTCCCCGCGCCCACCCCTCGCCTTCCTGCCTGGCTCCTTTCCTCAAGGCACCAGGCCAAGACGCAGCTTCCGCTGAGCACGCTGACCCCTCCTGACCCCCTCCAACAGCCAGGCAGAACCCCAGGTCCACTAGTTGGGGGCTGATGCGCTTTCTCAACTCAGAAGCTCTGCCCAGACCACCCTTTGAGCCCTCTTCTCGTGCCAACAGGTTGCTTCTTCCAGGAAGCCTTCCTTGGTTGCCCAAATTACAGCTGTGTGTGCTTCCTCTGGTAAGGGAGCTCTTGGGCCACGACGTGATCGCATTCACTGCCCATCTCAGCTGAGCTGTGAGCTCCACGAGGGCGGAGCCTCTTCTTCAGCCTTGGTGTAAACCCAGCACAGTGCACCCAACTCAATCAATGCTTGCAGTGGAACTGCGGGAACAGTGACGGCCCCTGGGCTGGGCGGCCACGCACATCACGTGGCCAAGGCCAAGGCAGCCAAGCTAGGGCAGGACTCACTGCAATGTTGAGCTTGATGGTCTGACCCTCCTTGAAGCCCAGGTCCAATTTGGGACCCTGGTCGGGGTTCTGGGCTTGCTTCGCGAATTCCCACTGCTGCTTCACCCACCTGGAGAGAGAAGAGAAGAGACGATGAGAAGCGAGCGCCCAGCGGCCCCGCGCTCCCGCCCCAGCTCACTGCCGCCCGCGGTCAGCCCGGGAGGCGCTGGGGCTGCGGCAGGAGCACAGAGCGCGCAGGCTGCGGCGTCCGGCCCGACTCCAGATCCTGACTCTGACCTCACAGGGCGGCACCCGAGCAGCTTCCTCCCACTCTACAGGCGCTAAAGATCGCTGAGATTCGGACGAGACGCAGCCCGTACCCGCCGCTAACACCGACCTCCAGGAAGTTCGAGAACTGGCCCCCACCTCCCCAGCAACACTGAAGTTCTCAGCTGGAATAAGCAGCAAGACACGGTCCCCACGCATCTCTGAGTGCTCATCCTGTAGGCGGCGAGCAGACACGGGCGCCACAGAGGCCTTCCCCTCGGCACAGCGCCACCCAGCAGCCACCAGGACTGGGGGCACCAGCGGGGAACAGCCCCGCGGATGGCAGAGGAGCACTCTCCGGCCCTTTCAGCTTCGACACGGACACCACGGTGCCCAGCGCCACTCATTACATCACGGAGCAGCAGGGCCAGGGCGCGCACGGGGCCTGTCGAGGCCTCTGGCGGCTCAGGGGCCTGTTAAGGGAGGAGTCTGACACCCTGAAGACCGGGCCGGCTGTCTGGGACAGAACAGAGTGGCCTCCGGAAAGCAGCCACCTTCGCAGCGGAGATGAGGCCCGGCAGAGCGGAGGGGAGTTTCCCCAGGCTCTGCCGCAGGCAAATCACTCACGGCCACTCGGCACCCCAACCCGGGCTGCGGCTCTGTCGGGGAAACAGGGAGGAGGCAGGAGCACGCGTCCGGGCGCCACTCACTTGAAATGGTCCTGCAGCGCGACGTTGAAGTCAAAGGCATCGCCTCGGTCCCCGAAGCCAATTCCAATAAACGCGCGTCGCCCTGGGGGACAGCACTCGCTTAACCCTGCTTTCCAGGGGCGGAGCCAACCCTCCGGAAAAGGCCGCACCAGACCCGCACGTACCGTTTCCGTCTTCAACGCGGATAACGAAGTACCTGCTGGAATCGGTCACGCTCTCCACGGCTGTGCCAGGAAACTGATCCACTGGTGCCTGAGCGAACAGCTCCCCTGCAAGCACAAGTCAGGAGAGCCCTGAGCGCCCGCCCAGCCTGGGCTCCCGGCACACGCCGAGCCCCGAGCGCCCGCCCAGCCTGGGCTCCTGGCACACGGCCGAGCCCCGAGCGCCCGCCCAGCCCGGTGCTCCCAGTCCACAATCGGGCCTTGTTCCCACAAGGTATCTGCAACAGGCCAAGGCTGACGGGTGCACCTTACTCGGGGATACAGACTAAATCCATTCTCACCGAAGGGAAGACGCAGAACTATGGGGCTTGTTTGTTTCACTACTTATTGTCATTGAAAGGGAGAGGGAGACAGATGTGGAGCGAGATTGGCATCTGCTGGTTCACTCCTCGAATGCCTACAGCGGCCAGAGGTAGGCCAGGCCAACGCCAGGGGCTGGGAACGCAGTCTTCCGCGCGGGGGCCCGGGGCCCGAGGACTCGCGCCATCACCGGCCGCCTCTCAGGAAGCTGGCTCAGAAGCAGAGCAGCCGGGACTCACACCCGGCAATCCAATACGGGATGAGGACGTCCCGAGCGGCGGATCACCACGGCATGGAATGCCCACGGCGGCGAGGAGAGGTTTACGTCAGACGGCTAACAGGTCACATCCAGGCCGCCGTGCTAGCATCCGTCTCAGAATCACCTCACAGGCAAGACAACCCAGACTTCTGGCTTTTCTTACAAGTAAAAGCTCCATCAGTGCTGGCCCTCCATTCTTGAGAGTAACGGGCTGGAGCTGCTACCCACCTGGCCCATCTGGTTCCCACGTTTACGCGACCTGCCTGAACCCCCAGGGCCCTGAGCCCCTGGACTGGGGGTGTGTCACACCTTCAGAAAAGGCTGAGATGCGAGGCAGGACCGGGAGAGGGGCGAGGAACCGTGTGGAAAGGAGGAAGGCTCTGAAGCAGGCTGATGGAGTCCCCCAGACAGGGCACAGGTGTGACGGGTTTGAAAGGGGCCCGGTGCCAGGCGCCCCTCGGCACAGCCCCAGCAGTGTGGCAGTGTCCACGCTGAGTATGGAGCCTGGGACTGCACGAGCCCTGGGGCTGTGAGGCCACCCCGTAACCAAGCTGAACTGAATCGACACCAGTGAGCCGAGTCTGCAGCCCCTTGTCAACCGCTCTGCCCCGTTTTGTACCCTGGGGCCCAGCCCACCCGGACCCTTCCAGCCTCGTCTCTCCCGGGTGACTCTGCTCCTCCTCCTCCTGGCAAGGAACACCTGCAGCCATGTTTCACTGCTGTAACCCAGGAGGTGCGGACATCTGGCAGAAGCCAGGGAGCTGCTGGGGGCCACCTGGACTCGGTAGCCTCTGCTACACAGGCTCGCCCAGCTCCAGCTGTCAGCGGGACAGAGGCTGAGAACTGGCCGAGAGTGACCCGCTCACTACCAACTAGGAGACGGAGATGACCGTGACCCGCAGCTGTGAGCACCTCAGGGTGGGCCTTAGGTGACACTCAGCCCTAAGCAGTGTTTGTGGCATTAGGCAGCCATGGTCCCAAAGTTTCCCAAGGAACACTGCCATCCCCTGTGACACTCCCCGGAACACCCGGCAAGTCTCTGGACACTGCCATCCCCTGTGACACCCCGGGACACCCCGGCAAGTCTCTGGTCACTGCCATCCCCTGTGACACCCCGGGACACCCAGCAGTCTCCGGTCAGAGTTCTCCGGCGTAGCCACGGAGCTGCCTCTTCAGACTCGTGTGTCGCAACACTCACGCGTTCTACCCCAGAAGCACAAGTCCCTGCTCCAGGCCACCTGCAGTCCATAAGCCAACTGGAACGGCATCTGCTCACCCCCTGTTTCCCACCCCCTTGTGGAAGAGGGACTAAAGGGACCTCCACGGCCACTAAAAGGAGGCCAAGGCTGCAGCGGTCACGTGGCCTGCCCAAGCTTTGCCAGCTGAGAAACAAGGGCAGCCAGTTCTGCCTCTCAATCTCTGTGCTTCCTTTTGCTCCACAAAGGAGAACCTCTACACGTTAGGAAAAATAAAGGACTGGGCCGGCGCGTGGCTCACTTGGTTAATCCTCCGCCTGCAGTGCCGGCATCCCATATGGGCGCCGGGTTCTGTCCCAGCTGTTCCTCTTCCAGTCCAGCTCTCTGCTGTGGCCCAGGAGGGAAGTGGAGGATGGCCAAGTGCTTGGGCCCTGCACCCGTGTGGGAGACCAGGAGGAAGCACCTGGCTCCTGACTTCGGATCGACATAGTTCTGGCCATAGTGTCCATTTGGGGAGTGAACCAACAGAAGGAAGACCTTTCTCTCTGTCTCTCTTTCTCACTATCTAACTCTATCTGTCAAGTAAATAAAAAAAGAACAAGAAAAAGGAAGGCCCAAGTGCAGCGCGGCCTCTCACTGACCGGGCGCCATCCCTATCTCCACGCCCAGTCTCGGGCTGGGATGGCTCCAGGCAGGTGCCTCCAAAGCCCACCAAAGGCCACAGTGTGCGACGCTCAGAGAGGATTCCCCAGCAGCTGCAGCCACCAGCCGCCAGCCGCCGCCTCGCAGCCATTCCCAGCTCCCTGTTACCGGGCGTGGTCAGCACAGAGCCGTCGCCTTCACCCCACTCTGCTCCAGCGCTTCCTGCTGGGACCCCCTGCAGGTCTCCGGGGGCTTCACAGGGCAGAGTGGGGGATGCAGGCAGGCCCCGGGGCTCCGACCTCCGAGCAGCCTGTCCAGGCCTGGGCTGCTGTTCTGTGAAGCGGGGCGGGCGCCTCAGCCCAGGGCCGTACCTGAGGTCCTGTCCTCCAGCTTGATGTAGGCCACCTGCCCCTTGGCAGTGACCCGCAGCCGGCCGCTCCAGGACGGCTGGTCCAGTTGCCACTCCGCGGCCCTGCGGGGACAAAAACCACCGAGCCTCAGCCAGGCGCTCCTGCTCCTCCCTCCACCATGGGGACGGGAACGGAAGGGGCTTCTTCCCGGGCAGGCTCTGCAGGCCACATAGCCGCCCGCGCCGCACGGCCAAGGCCAGCGGGCTGTGTCGCTGTTCCCAAGTACTTTAACTCTTTTCTCCAGAGTGTGGCTGTAGTCCAATAAAACTGTCCAGAGAGACACCCGTCTTCAGAATCTCCCGCAGCCACTTCAAAAGCAGAAACTTCGAGCGCTGGGCCGTGCCCACCCGTTCCAGACCACGGCGGCCTCGTCTGCAGGGGGTTTCCTCCAGTTCCCTTTCTGTGGAGGAAGCTGCCGCGGGCACCGCGGCCTCTGCCCAGGCCCTCTGGTCCGTGTGGAACCATGGAGACCTTCCCAGAGGAAGCGCACTCAGGGGAGCGGCCACCAGTAGACAAAGGGAGAGCAGGGGCTGGCGCCCAGGAGCACGCTCCCAGGAAGCCCCGCGCCCACGGAGACGGCCTCTGTACAAGCAGGTGGGCCAAGCAGCCGCTCAGTAAGACCCCCGAACACCCAGGGCCGTGGGCGTGCCCAGGAAGTCCCTCCGCACCCTGGGTGAGCTGTTCCGGGGCTGTGCCCACACCCACTGTCGGTCCGCAAGTCAGCGGCCACAGTTTCAGTTCCTCATCGCGGGGCTGAAGAGGGCTCCAAGGCTGCCATAGGGGACAGCAGCCTCCTCTGCGCCAGCCCAGCCAGCCCGACGCTCGCTCGTCTCGCTCTCGGGGGGGACTCAACAGGCCGGAGGGGCTGGACGGGCTTCCCTGGTCTGTGGCCCATCGCCACCCTGATTTCAGAGAGCAAACGTGCGCTTGTCATTGTCGCTTCCACACTAGCTTAAAATCACAGCACGGAAACAGTACGTGTCGAAATCGGCTACTACGAGCGCGTGCAAACACAACGGGAAACGGAAGGAGAGACCAGGCGTGTGGACGCCCGGACCCCCGAGCCACGGGGCGCACGCTGCCCTCGGGAGCCAGCCCCTCGCCCCACTCACTGGCACGAAACAGCCAGGGGCCAGGCTGGCTGCTACTGCAGATCTTTCTTCTTCTAACATTTCTCGGCTTGTTCTGCTCGGGTACACGCGAGGGAACAAAATGCACACAGTACGAGAGGGTGCACGGCCAAAGCCCGGTTCTCCCAGTCCGGGTTCCCTTCCAGACGCTGGAGACACTGCAAGCCCATGGGTCTCCGGGGACGGCTGCGCGCCACACGTGCGGGTGGGCCCCCTCCAAACGCCACAGGCTGGGACCAGCGGTGGCAGGGGTAGCGAGGGGGTCCCTGGGCTTTAGTGTGCAGCTCCCGAGGACCGGTCCTCTCGGCTGGCCCCGGGCTCCCTCCCCTCCCCCTGGCGGCTCCCGACACGGCCAGGCCTCGTCCCCGCGTAAGGCGCTTCTAGGACGTCTCTGCCGCCGCCGGCGAGCGTTCCGAGAGAAAGATCTGTGATACGCCCACCCCGACCGAGGTCGGGGTACTCGGCCGTCCCCCGGGGTCCCCCAGCGCTAGACGCGACTTGAACGCCTTCCCCGCCGCGTCCCGCGGAGACGGCCGAAACTCTGCGTCCCCTCCCTGCTCCGGCCTCAAGCTGGAAGAAGCCGCGGCTTTCCGTCCCCCCTCGACCCTACAGCGGCCAGGGCCGTCCTCGGCTCCCGCAGTGGGTGTGTCGGGGCGGCAAGGAAGGGGTCAACGCGGGACTAGCCAGGCCCGGCGGCGGCAGGTCACCTGTAGCCACGGTTGGTGGCCCGCGGCGGAATGCGGTAGACGTGGACCTCCGGCTTGACACACAGCACAGACTCGTACTCGTTCTCGTCCATCTCGCCGTCCGGAGCCCGCCGGACTTCCGGCTCCTTCCCCGCTACCCGCGCGGGACCGGAAGCGGCGCGACTCTATGCCCGAGCTCCGGCTAGAGCGGCAGTCGCGGGCTTCCGCTCCGCCTCGCCCGTGCGCCCTCTGCTGGAGACATGCGGCGAGGGCCGCCAGGCGAGGATGGCCAGGGACCAGGGCCTCCCCAGGCCCCGGGGCAGCCCAGCGGGCTTCAGTAGGGCGGCCGTCGTGACTTCGGGTCTGCTTGGCTGTGGATCACCCCCATCGCCTGGCCCCTCACGCGTGGGCCCAGCTGGCTCCTCCCCTGCGTGGGTGTCCCCTGTCAGGCTCGCCGAGGCGGCTTCTAGAAAGATCTCCCCTGCCCCCCCCAAGCCCGGGAGGCCGAACCCACTTGTGTGCCCGCGGCCCCTTGTGGTCTGGTTACTGAGGTAACCTAAACGGAATGCCGAGGGTTAAGCTGTGGCGGGCCGCCCGCACCCTGCTTAGGCACCTGGGAGGCAGGGGTGCGGCCCAGCCCCTGGGGGCCCTGCCACCTGGGTGGGACCTGGCGGAGCTCTCGTCTCTGGCTTTCGCCTGGTCCAGGCCTGGCTGTTGGAGTTGCGTCCCCTCGGCGGCTAAAACAGAATATCGCCAAAACCAGTGACAGGCGAAGCAAGGCGACCCACGGCCCCCAGTGGCGTTACACAGCCTTTTATAGTTTTCTGTCCACTGGGGCTCCCGATTTCCAACCCCTGGTGTGGGGGTATTGTGTGGCTGTGAGTGCCTGAGTGCGTGTGGCTGTGTGTGACTGTGTGTGTACGTGAGTGTGTGTGTGACTGTGAGTGTGTGTGACAGTGTGTGTGAGTGCGCGTGTGTGGCTGTGTGTGTGACAGTGTGTGTGACTGAGTACGTGAGTGTGTGTGACTGTGTGTGTACATGAGTGTGTGTGTGAGTGCGCGTGTGTGGCTGTGTGTGTGACTGTATGTGTATGTATGTGAGCGTGTGTGGCTGTGTGTGACTGTGTGTGTGTACATGAGTGTGTGTGAGTGTGCATGACAGTGTGTGACTGTGAGTGTGTGTGGCTGTGTGTGACTGTGTGTGTATGTGAATGTGTGTGTGACAGTGCGTGTGACTATGAGTGCGTGTGTGTATGTATGTGAGCGTGTGTGGCTGTGTGGGACTGTGTGTACGTTTGTGTGTGAGTGTGCGTGACAGTGTGTGACTGAGTGCATGTGTGTGTGACTGTGTGTGTGACTGTGAGTGCGTGTGTGTATGTATGTGAGCGTGTGTGGCTGTGTGTGGCTGTGTGTGTACATGAGTGTGTGTGTGTGAGTGTGCGTGACAGTGTGTGGCTGTGAGTGTGTGTGTGTGTGGCTGTGTGACTGTGAGTGTGTGAGTGTGAGTGTGTGATCAAATGGCCACAGTCCCGGGCTAAGCAGGCTGAGGACAGCTTCCAGGGTTTCTCTCCCGTGTCCCGGCTCCTTGTGTCAGTGTGTGGGGGGAGAACGAGGCGTCTCTTGGAGCTCATGGGCCCACTGAGTCAGACTTCAGCGGGAAGACTCCCGAGGACCCGCTCTTAGGGGTGCGACTTTGGGGCGATGGCTCGCAGGCAGCCCCCTCTCCAACTCCGACAGTGTTGGACCTCACCGTGTGGCTGCCACGGGTGGGACAGCTTCCTTCCCGTGGGCCACCCGGAATCCTCACTCTGCCGGGGCAGCCAGGTCTCACCACTCTCAGTTCCACTCAGGCTAACGGAGCCGGCGTAGAGTCCCTACCACGTGCCGGGGCCCCTGAGGAGGCTCGGCCAGCTCCGCCTTCGTGGAGTTCACAGACGCGGGGAGCAGGGAAAATCCGCCATTGAAACGCCCGGTGAGAAGGGCTAAGCAGCAGCAAGCCGGGGCCAGCACTGTCTGCAGCGGGTTAAGCCACCACCCGGGGCCACAGCCGTTCCCATACGAGCGCAGGTGGAGTCCCAGCTGCTCTGCTTCTGGTCCCGCTCCCTGCCCGTGTTCCTGGGAAGGCAGCAGACGATGGCCCCAGTGTTTTAGCCCTTGCCACCCGCGTGGGAGACTCGGATGGAATCCCAGGCTCCTGGCTTTGGCCTGGTCCAGCCCCAGTCATTGCAGCCAAGTGGGGAGTGAACCATGAAGTGAAAGATTCTCTCTCTCTCTCTCTCTCTCTGTCTCTCTCTCTGTCTCTGTAACTCTGCCTTTCAAATAAATAAACCTTTAAAAAGAAAAGACAAAGTACAAGCAGCAGCAAGCCCACAGTGAGCTGTGGGAGCAGAGACTGGTGCTGGTCCGGGGGCTGGCAGGGAGGGCTCTCAGAGGTTACCCGGGCACTGCCCCTGTGAGGTCGGCAGGGCACCGATTGTTGTCCTCATTGTGTGATGAGGGTGGCTGCGGCAGTGACAAGCCTATCCCGGAGCTGGAGGGGGCCAGACGGCCCCTTGCCTGATTCTCCACCCCTAGCTGGACAGTGCGAGAAGGCATTTCTAAACCCCTGTCGCTGACACGAGCTAGGCCTGTTGTTCTCGCAGCGTAACTACCGGGGCCAAACGCAGTCAGCGCAGCCCGGCGGGCAGCCTGGAGGCTCAGGTCCAGCCTGTCCTGTGTGCAGGAGGTGAGAGGGTGCGACGTCTCTCCGTGCTTTGTGTAGCTGCTGGCCGGTAGGCCACAGCCAAGGTGGGCGTCCCATGTGAGCAAGCTTCCCTGGCAGCCTCCAGAAATGCAAGTCACTTACCTTTCTCTGCTGTGCTTTGCTGCCATCATAGAAATATTTTTTTAATTTTTTTTTTATTTTTTGACAGGCAGAGTGGACAGTGAGAGAGAGAGACAGAGAGAAAGGTCTTCCTTTGCCGTTGGTTCACCCTCCAATGGCCGCCGCGGCCAGCGTGCTGCGGCCGGCGCACCGCGCTGATCCGATGGCAGGAGCCAGGAGCCAGGTGCTTTTCCTGGTCTCCCATGGGGTGCAGGGCCCAAGCACCTGGGCCATCCTCCACTGCACTCCCTGGCCACAGCAGAGAGCTGGCCTGGAAGAGGGGCAACCGGGACAGAATCCGGCGCCCCAACCGGGACTAGAACCCGGTGTGCCAGCGCCCTAGGCAGAGGATTAGCCTAGTGAGCCGCGGTGCCGGCCTATAGAAATATTTTTAAGATTTATTTATTTATTTGACAGAATTACAGAGAGACAAGGAGAGACAGAGAGAGATCTTCCATCCACTGGTTCACTCCCCAAATGGTTGCAAGTGGCTGGGGATGGGCCAGGCCAAAGCCAGGTGCCAGGAGCTTCTCCCTGGTTTCCCACATGGGTGCAGGGACCCAAGGTCCTGGGCCATCTTCCACTGCCTTCCCAGGCCATAGCTGGATCAGAAGTGGAGCAGTGAGGACTTGAACCAGTGCCCATGTGGGATGCTGACACTGCAGATGATGGCTTAACCTGCTATGCCACAGGACCAACCCCCCCCCCCCGAAATTTTTTTTTAAAGGAAGAGGAGAGAGAGAGAGAGAGAGAGAGAGAGAGAGAGAGAGAATCTCCCATCCATTAGTTCACTTCCCAAAGCTGGGAACCAGGAATGCAATCCAGGTCTTGCATGTGGGTGGCAGGGACCCACCTACTTGAGCCATCACCTCCTGCCTCCCAGGGTTCCTGTTAGCAGAAAGCCAGATGTGGAGCAGAGCCTGGACTTGAACCCGGGCACTCCCATACGCAGTCATTCCCAAGTGGCAGCTTCACCACTGCACCACCCGCCCGTCGCCGGCATAGCCGCTTGGAGACAAGCTTCCCACTCCTCAGCTGAGGCACTCTGTACCGATGCAGCTCTCTGGTGTGGCCTGGGAAAGCAGTGGAGGATGGCCCAAGTGTTTGGGCCCCTGCACCCATGTGGGAGACCTGGAAGAAGCTCCTGGCTCCTGGCTTTGGATCAGCTCAGCTCCAGCCATTGCAGCCATCTGGGGAGTGAACCAGTGGATGGAAGACCTCTCTCTCTGCCTCTGCCTCTACGTAACTGCATTTTAAATAAAATAAAATCTTTTTTAAAAAAGAATCATAGGCCTAAATGTTAGAGTTAAAACTGTACAATGCTTAGAATAAAATATAGGCATAAATCTTCAGGATATTGGATTTGTATTATAATAAAGAATCTAATGGGTTCCTAGATATGACACATTAAAAAAATTTGTTTATTTGGAAGGTGTAGTTACAGAGACGGAGAGAGGCAGAGACAGAGAGAGAGAGAGAGAGAGAGAGAGAGAGAGAGAGGTCCTCAGTCCACTGGTTCACTACCCAAATGGCTGCAATGGCCAGGGCTGGGCCAAATGGAAGCCAGGAGTCAGGAGTTTCATCTGAGTCTTTTACGTGGGTATAGATGCCCAAGCACTTGGGCCATCTTCTGCTGCCTTCCCAGGCACATTAGCAGGAAGCTGGTTCAGAAGTGGAACAGCTGGGACTCGAACGGGTGCCCATGTGGGGTGCCAGCATCACAGGCAGTGGCTTAACCCACTGCACCCAGCACAGGCCCGCCTTGAGATGACAGCCTGTGACGCCAGCGTCCAGTATGGGCGGGCACTGGTGCGTGTCCTGGCTGCTCCACCAATCCAGCTCCCCACTGATGACCCTGGAAAAGCAGCCTTTGGGGCTGTTTGGTGATGATCCAGAGCCTGGAAGATTCTCTCTTTCTCTCATTCTTTCTCTAATTCTGCCTTTTAACTTGATAAATCAATCTTTACAAAATAAAGAGGCAAATGGGACTTCAACAAAATTAAAATATTTTTGTACTTCAAGAGAAAAAATTGAATATACAGTTCACAGAAGGAAAACTTTGGAAATGCTATATATGATAAGGGACTCATATCTAGGATTTACAAAGAGCACACAATAGGGAAAAACAATATAAATGAACAAAAGTTCTGAATAGCCATTTACAAATGACCATCTACAAATATGATATGCAAAGTAGCTACAGGCCGGCCAGCCGGCACGTGGAAAGGTGGGTAACATCATCAGCCAAGAGGGAAACGCAAGTCCAAGTCACTTCTGTGTAACACTTCACGGCCACACCGCTGGGATGGCTGGGATAAGGGACAGGCAGGAGTTATTAAGCATTTGAGCGGATGTGGAGAACTTGGCTCGGATGTGCAGTGACGCAGCCCTGTGGGAAACAGCCGGGCCACTCCCGAAGTGGCTGAACAGTTAGCGCGTGACCCAGAGGTGCCGCCCCCAGGGATCTGCTCACAAACAGTGACGACACGTTCCCATATAGAAGTGCACGGGAGCGCTCTCTCAGAGCCACGCCGTTCATAATGGCGTCTGTCCACTGAGGATGGGTAACGAAGCTTGACTTGTCCCTACAGTGGCACAGCACGGAGCGTGCAGAGAGAGAGAGAGAGAAGTGCTGGTACACGCTGCCGCGTGGGTGAGCTTTGAAATCAGCCCACGAAGCGAAAGAAGGCAGTTGCCAGACCACGCGTTGTGGCCTCCACTTCTGTTGAATGACTGGATGGAGAGAGTGGATTCACTTCTGCGAGGCTGGGGGCGGAGCAGCAAGACGGGGGCGGGGTGAGGAGCAGGGGTGCGGGACTTCCCTTTGGAGTGATAAAAATGTTCTGAAGCTGTGGTGGTGGTTGTGAGACTGTAAATACAACACTGATGATGTTACACTTTGAATGGGAGAACTGTGTGGGGTGTGAAAGATGGGGGGACCTTTGCCACCTCTTCCCCCAATTCTCCCCTTGGGTTCCGAGCCTCTCCCTTGATGTCCATAAATTCTGGTGGTTGACAAGTTGCAGAGGGGGGCCCTCCCCTTGTTATCTGTAAATTCTCACAGAATTTACAGTTACGAGGGGGCTGGGCCTCCCGGGGGCTCTGTCCCCTTCCAGCACAGTTTGTGGAATATTGGGGCCCGAGAGCTCCGAGGTGGAGACAGAGGACAATGGGGGGCGTGTGTGAGGTGTCCTGGGGGACACTGTCCCCAGATGGGTCATCGCCCCAATACAGGAAGGCTCAGAGGCTGGGGGAATGGTCAGGCGAACCCTCGGGAGAGAGAGGCCGGGGAGAAGAGAGGAACTCCAGCGGAAGAGACAGGGACTTGGCCACGGCCCGGAGGAGTCCCAAGTGAGAGCTTGGGTCCTTCGGGGGGGCTGGAGCTGCACCTGGGGCAGGGGGCAGGGCCAGCTAGGAGCTGAGGTTTTATTTCCATTGAGGGGGCTCGGGTGTAACAACAGGAAGTACCCACAGGGTAAGAGGAGGAAGTAGGGTTTGGCGTCAGCAGCTGTGAGGGAGGCCTTGAGCCGTGGAGCCCCTTTGCATCCCTAGGGCCCGACGGGCTGTCTGGCACCGGCACGTGGCCTCAGTCGTCAAATGAAAAAGACTTAGACTTCTTGACAGGCAAGATGATACCAAGAGATAAACAGTCTGGGGTGTCAGGCCTGGGTTTTGTTTTGTTTTATTATTTTTTTATTTTTATTTTTTGACAGGCAGAGTGGACAGTGAGAGAGAGAGAGATGGAGAGAAAGGTCTTCCTTTGCTGTTGGTTCACCCCCCAATGGCCGCTGCAGCCGGTGCATCATGCTGATCCAAAGCCAGGAGCCAGGTGCTTCTCCTGCTCTCCCATGCAGGTGCAGGGCCCAAGCACTTGGGCCATCCTCCACTGCACTCCCTGGCACAGCAGAGAGCTGGCCTGGAAGAGGGGCAACCGGGACAGAATCCGGTGCCCCGACCGGGACTAGAACCCAGTGTGCCGGCGCCGCAAGGTGGAGGATTAGCCTACTAAGCCGCGGCGCTGGCCTGTTTTATTTTATTTTTAAGATTTATTTATTTGAAAGGCAGAGTTAAGAGAGAGAAAGAGATTTTCCATCTGCTGGTTCATTCCCAAAAGGCCGCAATAGGTGGGGCTTGGCCAGGCCGAAGCCAGGAGCCCCGAACTCCAGCTGGGCTCCATCCATTAGCAGGGAGCTGGATTGGAAGCTGAGCAACTAGGACTTGAACAGGTCACAACGTGGGACTTTTACTTTTATTTTATTGTTAATTTTTTTAAAAAGATTTATTCATGTTTATTTGAAAGTCAGAGTTACACACAGAGAGAAGGAGAAGCAGAGAGAAAGAGAGAGAGAGAAAGAGAGAGAGAGAGAGAGAGAGGTCTTCCATCTGCTGGTTCACTCCCCAAATGGCTGCAATGGCTGGAGCTGGGCCGGTCTGAAACCAGGAGCCAGGAGCTTCTTCCGGGTCTCCCACGTGGGTGCAGGGGCCCAAGCACTTGGGCCATCCTCCACTGCCTTCCCAGGCACATTAGCAGGAAGCTTGAACTCAAACTGGCACCCCTATGCGATGCTGGCATGGCAGGTGGTGACTTCCCCAGCCGCGCCACAATGCCGGCCCCGCCTTTATTTATTTATTTTTAAATTAATTAACTTGGAGCCCAGCATTGTGGCACAACAGTTGAAACCACTGCTTGCAACACCAGCATCCTACATTGGAATGTTGGTTCAGGTCCTGGCTGCTCCACTTCTGATCCAGCTCCCACCTAATGAGCCAGGAAAGGCAGCAGAAGACGGCCCAAGTGCTTGGGCCCCTGCACCCATGTGGGAGACCTGGAGGAAGCTCCTGGCTCCTGGCTTCAGCCTGGCCCAGCCTCCGCTGTTGGGGCATTTGGGGAGTGAACCAGTGGATGGAAGATCTCTCTCTCTCTCTCTCTCTCTTTCTGACATTCCAAATTTCAAATAAATATATAAATCTTTAAAAAAAATTTATTTTCATTTTATTTGAAAGGCAGAGAGACAGAGATCATCCATCTGCTGATTTGTTCCCCAAATGCCTGCCATAGACAGGGCTAGGCCAGGCCAAAGCCAGGAGCCCAGAACTCAGTCCAGCTCTCCAACGGGTGGTAGTGATGTGCATACCTGAGTCATTGTCTGCTGCCTCCCGGGGTCTGTATGAGCAGGAAGCTGGATCCGAAGTAGAATGCCCTGGTGCCAGTGCTGTGGCCTAGCAAGTTAGGACACTGCCTGCGACGCCGGCTTCCTGTGTGGGCAGCGGTTCACCCAGCTGCTCCACCTCCAATCCAGCTCCCTGCTAATGGCCTGGGAAAAGCAGTGGCAGATGGCCCAAGTGTGTTCGGGCCCCTGCCACTCACATGGGAGACCCAGATGAAGCTCCTGGCTCCTGGCTTGGGCCTGGCCCAGCACTGACCATTGCAGCCATCAGGGGAGTGAACCAGCAGGTAGAAAAGCTCTCTCTGTCTCTCGCTCTCTCTCTAACTCTGACCTTCAAAATAAATAAATCTTGAAGAAGAAGAAGGAGGAGGAGGAGGAGGAGGAGCAGCCCCACGAAGCATTTTACCTGCTGCACCAAACGCCTGCCCCGGGACAGGCCTGGGCTTGGATCTAGTCCTCTGTGGAGTGGCTGTGTGGGGTTGGGAAAGACACTGGGCTAATCTGAGCCTTGGTTTCCTTATCCTTAAAACAGGGCTGAACCCACTGACCTCACAGGGCTGTGAGGAGAATCCCTCGGCAAACGTCCAGCACACAGAAGGTTCCTCCAGGGACGCTCGCTGGCCTGCTGTGATCTAAAGGGCAAGAGGTACCATCAAGGTCATCTTCAAAGGTCACCTGGGCTTGCTGGGCGGGGTCAGGGTTTTCCCCCCAGAAGCTAACAGTGGCAAGGCTCCCTACGTACCCATAGACGTGGCGCTGGTGTTGCCCCAAAGGAGTTCAGTGGCCGAGGTGGTTGGAAACTGGGAGAAGAGGTAAACGCTTGTGGGGTGCTGCGGGGGTGTTAGGGAGATAGAGATGTGGGAGGCAGGCACAGCAGCTGGGGGGGGGCGCATTGCAGGCATCTACCCTGGCTGCAGCCGAAAGCTGTGCAATTGTGAGACGGGGCGGGGTGGGGGGAGGCAGCAAGAGAGATGCGAAGAACGGTCCAGGGCGGGGTGTGGGTCTTTGGCCAACCACAGACGGAGACCTTGGGGTCTCCGTGACAGGGACAGGTAAGAGCTTGGAGCCCCCGTCTGGAGCCGCAGCCCTCTCCCCGGGCCCCTTAGAGTGCACGTTAGTGTGTTAAAGGCCGCCAGAGGCCCTGCAGGAAAGAGCCCGTTCCATGTTGCTTAACCCAGCACCTTCCAAGCCGCGTGGAGCACCTCTAGGGAGCAAGGTCCCTTTCAGAAATGCAGATGGGGGGGGGAGGGTGTGGGTTTGGGTTCCGATCCTGCTGTGACCCCGTGGGTGTTGGACCTTGGGCGGGCTCTCTGGGTTCACGTCTTGCCCCTCACTCCGTGCAGGCCTGAGCCGGGCTGTCTGCGTTCCAGGCTCCCGGGGGCTGCGGACACATCAGTGAGCCATTAGACCAGGCCGACCCTTGCCTGGAGGCCTCCCGGGGCACAGCAGCTGATGCCCTTCACACCGTGCCTTTGCTGGACCCGGCTTGATGGACACCAGAGACACCCCAGTGCACGCAGAGGGTCGGACCAAGGCTCCAGGGGCGCCGTCGAGTCCCGGCCTGAGGCACATCCCAACGAGAGCTGTTGCTGAGCCCGCGCTCTCGGGAGTCGGCCAGGTGGGTGCCCGCACCTCGTGTCCTGCGCGCTCCACTGCCCGCCGGCACCTTTCCCTCGTCCGCCCAGGCTCCCTCCGCCTCTGCTGGAATTCAGGTCTCGGCTACAGGTGACACAGAACCCAGTTCAAGCTGGATTAAGCAGGAATGAGAGCACAAGTTGGGGGAAGGGACAGATCCCTCGGCAGAGTCCAGAGAGGGCTGGACCGTGGTGCTCAGTGAGCATCTCCCGGCTGCCTGGTTAGGCTTCCCTGCGCCACGGCGGTGGTGGCCCGGGCCGCTCCCATCTCCGCCTCCCTACCTCGCGCCATCTGGCGTAGTAGTATCCCCCACAGGAAGAGCCTCCTTGCAGTAGATGAGTAGGTCTCTGGTAGCACTGTTCTGTCCTCAGGCCGGAGTATGGGCCTCCGTGCTGGGGCTGGGGTGGGGGTGGCGCTGGCCTGGAGCCGATGGAACAGTGGAGACAGAGGCCATAGCCAGCTCCACTGGGCCCCGTGGGCCACCCTGGGCAGCGACGGCTTGTTTCTGAACCAGCAGGAGGGGAAGGCGGGAGCCCGCATCGCACCTGGGAAGCCCACGCCCGAGGCAGCCCCGTCTGATGAAGCAGGTCTGCAATGCCGTTTTGTCTGAAGTTTTGCCTGCTTTAGTGCAACTCCCTTTAGCGTTAAGTATGAGAGCGTGAAATGCAAAAAGAAAAAAGGAAAGGATCGCTGGCCTCTGTAACGTCAGGAGCTTCTGGGTGGGCAAACCAAGAATTGCCGACTTGCGCCTGGTGCTTCTGTGGCCTCCGCCCCATCCCTCATTCCCTGACCGCTGCTCAGAGCTTCCATCCGGGCCCCTCCGCCTGCATCGGAGGCCCCGTCACACCTCGCAGCTCTCTTTCCGAAAGCACCGAGTAGCACAAAGAGCACAGACATCCCTGACGGGTTTGGTTCCCACGGGCCCAAAGTGTCACCGTGACAACTGACACTCCCTTGGGCTGAGAGTGGCCGGCGCCCCGGAGCCTCTGAGACCAATGCTGGTGTCCCTGGGGAGGGAAGCCGGCCCGCAGAGGAGCAGTCTTGGAGGGCGGCTGGGCGCCCGCTCGGGGCTTCCTTCACCCAATCCTTTGCGTTTTCAACAAGCACAGCCATGGGGTCCCGGGCCCACCACTCGGTCAGCCCTGTGACCTTGGGCGTGTGTCGTGTTTCGTGGTGTGGACTAACAAGGTTCCGCCCTGTAAGGCACTGGGCACAGGCCTGCCTTGTGATAGGTGCCCGTTAGTGTTGGCACCAGCAGCATCTTTATAATAATTACTGCCGATTAAGTAATTAGGCTATTTGGAGTTTGTTTTTATTCATTAATTTATTTGAAAGTGAGACAGAGATAGAGACAGAGAGATCTCACCCACTGGTTCACCCAGGCCGAAACCAGGAGCCAGGATCTCCGTCCAGGTCTCCTACGTGGATGGCAGGGACCCAAGCACTCGAGCCGCTACTGCTGCCTCCCAGGGTGCATAGCAGCAGGATTGGGAGCAGAGCTGGGGCTCAAAGCCAGGCACTCGGGCACAGGGTGCCGGTGTCGGCAGCGTCTCACCCACTAGGCCCGATGCTGCCCCCGGTTGTGTGGAGTTTGTGGACTTGGGCGAGGCTGGGAGCTGAGTCTCAGGCACTGGCTGCTCCAGGTCACCCAGTGGGGGCTGATGGACCAGCCAGGCCCCGAGCCGGAGCAGTGGACACCATGGAAGGCCTTTCTCAGAAGCTGTGAGGAGCGGCAAGTCCCTCAGGTGCCCCCGCACGCTGTGCTCGCTGTGAGCACCTTGGCTCAGCCGCAGATCTGCACTCGGGTCCACGGCGGGCTCTTAGTGCTGAACAACAGCCGACCCGCACCCCACCCCCTTGCCCACTGCCTCTGGCTCCTCCTTGTCTCTCTCCAACACCCTTCGCAGGTAGGCACGGGTCTCTGTCCCCGAGGCCAGGGCACACCCAGCACGAGTGGGGAGACTCACCCCAGAACGGGTACGCGGGCCAGCTCTGGAACCAGAGCCATTGCATCTCTGTTGCAGGTTGTGTTTGTGGGTGCTGCAGAAGGGGGCCGTGGGCCGCAGCCCGCATCCGCTCCAGAAGGGCCGGAAGAGGGGCCCGCACACGGCGAGGTGGCCGAGGAGGGGCCGACGCAGCTCCGGGTCCAGGAGCAGAGGCCTCCTGCCAGACCAGGGTGAGCTGGTAGCCCCCTGCAGAGAGACTCCCCGGATTAAGGCAGAGCCACCCGCACCTGCACCTCTCTTTCTTTAGCTTTTTAAAATATTTATTTATTTACTTATTCATTTATTTGAAAGGCAGAGTGACAGAGAGACAGAGGAAGAAACCTTCCATCTGCTGTTTCACTCCCCAAATGGTCTCAAGGCCGGCTGGACTGAAGCCAGGAGCCTGGAACTCCATCTGGGTCTCCCATGTGGGTGGCAGGGGCCCCAGCACTTGGGCCATCTTCTGCTGCTTTCTTGGGTGCATTTGCAGGGAGCTGGATCGGAAGCAGAGCATCCGAGACTCCAACCGGCGCTCAAATATGGGATGCCAGTGTCACAGGCTGTGACTTTAAATGCTACGCTACAACTCTGGCCCTAAAATTTATGTTTTTATGTATTTGAAAGGCAGATAAAAGGGGGGGGGTGGCGCCATGGCACACTAGGTTAATCCTCCGCCTGCGGCACTGGCAACCCATATGGGCCCCAAGTTCTAGTCCTGGTTGCTCCTCTTCCAGTCCAGCTCTCTGCTGTGGCATGGGAGGGCAGTGGAGGATGGCCCAAGTGCTTGGGCCCCTGCACCTGCATGGGAGACCAGGAAGAAGCACCTGGCTCCTGGCTTCAGATTGGCGCAGCGCCAGCCGTGGCAGCCATTTGGGGAGTGAATCAATGGAAGGAAGACCTTTCTCCCTGTCTCTCTCACTGTCTGTAACTCTGCCTGTCAAATAAATTAAAAAAAAAAAAAGAAGAAGAAAGAAAGAAAGGCAGAGTGACTGAGGGAGGGAGAGAGAGAGAGAGAGAATCTTCATCCACTGGTTCACTTCCCAAAAACCCTCCACATCTGGGGCTGGGCCAAACCAAAGCCAGGAGTCTGGAACTCCATACTGTTTTCCCACATGGGTGGCAGGGTTTCAAGCACTTGGGCTGCCATCCACTGTTTCCCAGGCTCATCAGCAGGGAGCTGGATCAGAAGTGGAGCAGCTGGGACCCCAACCAGCGTTCTGATATGGGATGCAGGATCACAGGCAGTGGTTTACCTCACTAAGCCATCACTCCATCACATCATTTTCAGTATTAAACACTGAAATACTCTAAATGCCCATACAATAGGGAAATGGTTAATGATAGTTATGTGTACATACAGAATTGAAGATATTTATTTACTCATTGATTTGAAAGGCAGAGTTACTGGTTCACTCCCTGAATGGCCACATTGTGTTCTGGGCTCTGGCTGTTGCGGGCATTTGGGGAGTGAACCAGTGGATAGAAGATCTCTCTTTCTCTGTCTTTCTGTCTTTCTGCCTTTCAAATAAGTAAAAATAAATAAATTTAAAAGAAAAAGAGGGGTCAGTGCTGTGGCGTAGCAGGTAAAGCCTCCGCCTGCAGTGCCGGCGTCCCATATGGTGCTGGTTCGAGTCCCGGCTGTTCCACTCCCCATCCAGCTCTCTGCTGTGGCCTGGGAAAGCAGTAGAAAATGGCCCAAGTTCTTGGGCCCTGCATCTGCGTGGGAGACCCAGAAGAAGCTCCTGGCTACAGATTGGTGCAGCTCTGGCCATTGGGGCCAATTGGGGAGTGAACCAGGGGATGGAAGACCTCTGTCTCTCTGCCTCTCCTTCTCTCTCTGTGTAACTCTGACTTTCAAATAAAATAAATAAATCTTTTAAAAAAATTTAAAAAAAAAAAGAAATCAGTGCCCCAGTCTGGAGCTAAGGTGCCTTTGTCCTTTCTCCCCAGGAAGAAGCAGTCATCTTGGACCCCTCAGGAAGGGCCCAGGGAGCTGCAAGTGGACCAGGCTCCAGCCAGGCCAGGGCAGGAGCTGGAGAGGCCGCCTTCTGTGCAGGGGCAGCCTCCCAGGAGTTGCCAGGTAACCCCCGAGGAAACGGGGCAGCAGGGAATGGGATGACCGACCCACAGGGGAGGCAGAGGAACCCACCCCCCGATCAGACACACTTGGGTCTGCCCCCCTCTGCCATGGAGGTATCCTGGGGCCCGGAGTGGGGACCACAGCGTGTCGCAGGCTGGGGCAGGCGGTCGTTTCACTGGCAATACTGGGACGTGTTTATTAGCTGCTGAGCCGTGCGGCTTCGTTATTCCATGTTGTGACTTAGTTGATGCATACGGCAAGGGTGCAATTGGATGTTTGGGTACCTGCACACACCAGCAAACTGTCACCCCCGTCAGGAAAGCAAGCGCGGCCATCGCCTTCTAGCGGTTTCTCTGTGCCCTTTCCCATCCCCCCGCCCAGCCCCGGGGGTCGGCTCCCGTCTCCTGCAGTTGCACACACACACACATGGAATCGTACAGTGTGCGTGCTGTTTGGCTTCTTTCCCTCAACGGGGTTGCTGTGAGGTCCCTCGGTGCTACGCTGAATGTCAGACCTTCATTCCTGTTTTGCTGAGTCGTTCGCCATCAGACGAATGCTGTGATTTGATGGTTGCCAACCTTGCTGTCCTCCTCTGATCGTCGTATGAAACGTCTGTGCACGTCTGTGCCTACGTGGGCGCATCCGCTTGTCTTGGGCAAATGCGTAGGAATGACTGGATTTCTTAAGACTCCCAGCATTTTCTCCCACGCAGTCGGACCCCAGCGGCCGCGCGTGAGGACCCCCGCAGACTTGCGCGCCTGCCGTTCTCATTGTTAGCATTCACGGAGGTGTGCAGCCGCATCTCACCGCGGTCTTGGTTTGCGTTTTCCTCATGACCGGCAATGCCGGGCGTCTCGGCACGGGCTTACGGCCATTTGCAGGTGTTCTCTGGAGAAATGCCTGTTCAATCCCCCACCCCTTATTTTGTGTCCTTGTATCATTGAGTCATGAGAGAGTTCTGTTTGTCCTGAACACTAGACTTTTTTTTTTTTTTAAAGATGTATTTATCTATTTTGAAAGACTGAGTTACAGAGAGAGGGAGAGACAGGGAGAGAGAAATTTCCTCCATCTGCTGATTCACTCCCCGGCTGGCCGCAATGGCCAATGCTGGCCAGGCAGAAGCCAGGAGCCTCTTCCAGGTCTCCCACGTGGGTGGCAGGGGCCCAGGCACTTGCGCCATCCTCCACTGCTTTTCCCAGACTGCAGGGAGCTGGATTGGAGGTGCAGGAGCAGGGACACGTCCGGCGCCCGTTCAGCTTGCGGGGCTGCGGGAGGCAGCCTTTCTCGCGGTGCACGCTGGTCCCGGAGTCCAGACTGTTAGCAGACACCTGACCAGTAACTGTCCCCCCTTCTGTGGGATGTCTTTTCACTGTTTGCCTCCCCCGCCGCCGTTTTTGGTTGGGTCGTTTGTTTCGTTATTATTGAGGTTCAGAGCTCTTACCCACTCTGCCCGCAAGTCCTTTATCAGACACCTGATTTGGGAATAGTTGCGCCCAATCTGTGACGTGTTTTTTCCGTTATTTTAACAGCAACTTTCTAAGAACCGAACAATATTTTAACTTTAAATGGTTTTCATAACTGGGCGTGTTTGTGGAGTGTGCATGTGTACAGAGTGTGTTCAGTGATCAGACCAGCGCAGGCAGCACCTCCTCTCCTGGAAAATGTGTCGTTTCTTTGTGATGAGGAGCTTGGAACTCTTTAGTTCTTTACAAAATGTAGAATAAATTGTTGTGAACTGTTGTATTGCTCTGTAGAACACTGGAAGAAGTTTTTTTTTAGGGTGCAATTTATCCATTTTTGCTTCTATATATATATATATATATATTTGAAGAGATTGGAGCAGTCTGGCTTTATTTTTTGATGGCAAACACACTGCCCCAAACAGGCTTTTATTTTATTTATTTATTTATTTATTTATTTATTTTTTGACAGACAGAGTTAGACAGAGAGAGAGAGACAGAGAGAGAGACAGGGAGAAAGGTCTTCCCTTTTCCGTTGGTTTACCCCCCAAGTGGCCACTACAACCAGCGTGCTAGCGGCCGGTGCACTGCGCTGATCTGAAGCCAGGAGCCAGGTGCTTCTCCTGGTCTTCCATGCGGGTGCAGGGCCCAAGGTACTGGACCATCCTCCACTGCACTCCTGGGCCACAGTAGAGAGCTGGCCTGGAAGAGGAGCAACCGGGACAGAACCGGCGCCCCAACCGGGACTAGAACCTGGTTTGCCGGCGCCGCAGGTGGAGGATTAGCCAAGTGAGCTGTGGCGCTGGCCCTTTTATTTTATTTTTAAAGACTTATTTATTTATTTGAGGGGCAGAGTTACAGAGAGAGGGAGAGACAGAGAGAAAGAGGTCTTCCATCTGCTGGTTCACTCCCCAGATGGCTGCAACGACCCAAAGCCAGGAGCCAGGAGCTTCTTCTGGGTCTCTCACATGGCTGCAGGGGCCCCAGGACTTGGCCATCCTCCACTGCTTTCCCAGGCCATTAGCAGGGAGTTAGATGAGACGTGGAGCAACCAGGACCCAAATCAGCCCCCATTTGGGATGCCAGTGCTGCAGGTGGAGGCTTAACCTATGATGCCACAGCACTGGCCTCCCATTTTTGCTTTTTGAAAAGACTTATTTTAAAGGCAGGATTACAGAGAGAGAGAGACAGAGTCAGAGTCAGAGAGAGCTCTTCCATCCGCTGGTTCAGTCCCCAAATGGCCGCAATGGCCAGGTTGAAACCAGGAGTTCCAGTAGCTTCTTCGGGGTCTCCCACGTGGGTGTAGGGGCCCAAGGACTAGGGCCATCCCCTGCTGCCTTCCCAGGTACATTAGCAGGGAGCTGGATCTAAAGTGCAGCAGCCAGGACTCTAGATGTTGTAATCGGCTTAATCTGCTGCGCCACATATTTTGGTGATATATTTTAGAATTTTTCCTTAAGCCCAGGTCACAGGATTTTCTCTCTCTCTCTCTCTCTCTCTCTCTCTTTTTTTTTTTTTTGACAGACAGAGTGGACAGTGAGAGAGAGAGACAGAGAGAAAGGTCTTCCTTTGCTGTTGGTTCACCCTCCAATGGCCGCCACGCCTGGCGCGCTGCGGCCGGCGCACCGCGCTGATCCGATGGCAGGAGCCAGGTACTTATCCTGGTCTCCCATGGGGTGCAGGGCCCAAGCACTTGGGCCATCCTCCACTGCACTCCCTGGCCACAGCAGAGAGCTGGCCTGCAAGAGGAGCAACCGGGACAGAATGTGGCGCCCCGACCGGGACTAGAACCTGGTGTGCCAGCGCCGCAAGGCGGAGGATTAGCCTAGTGAGCCGCGGCGCCGGCTCCTCCTGTATTTTCTTCAAACAATTCTATGGTTTAGGTTTATGAACCATTTTTTTTTTTTTTTTTAGTTTTTATTTGAAAGGTAGAGCGATGGAAACAAAGAGACCGTCTGTCCACTGGTTCACTCCCCCAATGCCCACAACAGTCAGGGCTGGGCCAGGCTGAAGCCAGGAGCCTGGAACTCAGTTTGAATCTTCCACGTGGGTGGCAGGGACCCAAGGCCTTGAGCACCACCTGCTTCCCAGGTGTGTCCAAGCAAAAAAGTGATTCATAAGCTGAGGAGCTGGGACTCAACCAGGCGCTCCAGCGTGGGCCTTGGCACCCGAGTGGCGTCCTACCTGCTGCACCGAGTGCCTGTTCCTCACGATCCACCTTGTTGTAGTTTGTGTGTGCTCTCTGAATGTTGTTCTTTCTATGTGGCTATCCATTTATTCCAGCTTCGGTGGCTGAAGACCATCCTTTCTCTGCCGATTTGCACCTTTCTTGAAAATCAATTTGCTGTATATGAGAGGATTTCAAACCATTCATGGAAAATGAAACTGAAAGATAAACTTATTTGCTGCAAAAAAAATGTAAACCCATGCATAGTTTATTCAGAATACGCATTTCTGAAGACTCCTGGTATGTGTGAGTCTGTGTCTGCATCTATTTTGTTCTATTTGTCTGTATTCCAATACCATGCTTTCTTGATTATAGAAACTTTATAAGTCTTGAAATCAGTCAGTGTTAAAGGCCCCCTGTTTAAAACTAACAGTGTACATATTTACAGGCTAACGTGACATTTCAGTATAGCTATACAAGGTATACTGATCAAAACAGGGTAGCTAACATTTCTATTTCTTTTTTTATTTTTAAAGATTTATTTATTTTTTTGAAAGGCAGAGTTACAGACAGGTAGAAGCAGAGAGAGAGAGAGAGAGAGAGAGAGAGAGAGAGAGAGAGAAGTCTTCCATCTGCTGGCTCCCCAAATAGCCTCAATGGCTGGAGTTGCACCGGTCCAAAGCCAGGAGCCAGGAACTTCATCCTGGTCTCCCACGTGGGTGCAGGGGCCCAAGCACTAGGGCCATCTTCTCCTGCTTTCCCAGGCACGTTAGCAGGGAACTGAATAGGAAGCAGAGCAGCCAGGACTGGAACAGGCTCCCATAGGGGATGCCAGCACTGCAGGCGGCCGTTCTACCCACTATGCCACAGCGCCGGCCCCCATTTCCCCTTCTTTGACACTACTTCATGACTGGTGGTTGGAACGTCTTCCTTCAATTTGTTCACATACATACTAGGTTATTGTGAACCGTAGTCTCCCCACTGGGCTGTGTCACACTAGAACTTACTCCTTTGCTCTCTCTTTGATTTGCACCCAACATACAAGTGACAGAATTTTATTGATAACTGGGTAGTATTCCATTGTGTATATACACTATTTTTAAAAATTTATTTGGGCTGGTATTGTGGCATAGTGGATAAAGCTGCTGCCGGTGCTGCCGGTATCTCATGCGGGTGCTGGTTCAAGTCCCAGCTGCTCCACTTCCTACCCAGCTCCCAGCTGACGGCCTGAGAAAAGCAGTGGAAGATGTTTGGGCTTTTGCCACCCACACTGTAAACCTGGCCAGTGTGACCATCTGAGCAGTGAACCAGCAGATGGAAAGGGTGTGTGTGTGTGTGTGTGTGTGTCCCTCTCTCTCTATAACTGTGACTTT